CCCTGAATGAGGAAAAATAGATTTTAATTAATAAATCTGTTAGTTCTCAAAAAGCCTGTGGCCATTCAGCCTGTCACTCAGGTGGTGTCAACTGTCTGGGCCCAGAATGGGTTTGGCATTTAGCTTACTGGCCTGGGGGGTATTAGGAAGTCACAGGCTTTCAAGTAGTTAACTGAAGCAGGGGTGGGAGACTTCTATTGTTTAGGATTCAGAAACTGATTTATAAAGCAATTGAGAAGCAGGGGGATAGGAGAATTCTAGGATTCAGGCTAGGAGCAATCTTTAGCCTAGAATTCACAGACTGCTGAGAAGAGTAATCAAAGCCAGGGGCTAAGAAACTAAGAAACTAGGGGAGGAGACTTAACATTTCTATACTTAACATTTCTATAGGAAAGAACACTTAAAAGTTTCTCAGTGGTGGGGGGTGCTGCTCAGCTGGCTGGTAACAGAATGAGGCAACCAGTTTTGAGACTCAAGGTGTAGAGGCTGGGGGGTGGTTTTTACCAAATGATGAATTAATAAATATCTAATTCTTATACTGACACTCTTACACTGGTCAGAGCTGAGGTTGCTGGTATAGTTGTTTTTTCCCCTCTCTGTGCTATCAGGATGATGGTGGCCACCTGCAACCAACTTCTTAGTATCTAGTGTGTGCGGGGGGGCCCAGGAGAGACTCGCTTCCCTTAAGGAGTTTAAAAATCAAAATGAGACAAAACACATATGGGAAATGCAATCGAATGGAAGCAGTGTTGTTTTTTCCATTTTCACAAGAAAGGACTTCGGTGGAGGCGAGGCTGGTACAGCTGATGTATACATGGTGGGTCCACAAACCTTGAGGATTTAGAGCAACCTAATTCTACAACCTTGACTTTATCCTTTCTAGGCTAAATGAAAGATAACATCCAATCCTTAAGGAGCATTTGCTAAGTGTGTTCCTGGTACTCTACTGTTTCAAGGCAATTTCTCATTGAATCCTCACAGCGGCCCAAAGGAACAGGTATATCATTCTTGCCTTCGGAGCTGAGAAAACAGAAGCAGGGATAGGTGAAGGAACTTGCCTGAGGTCACACGGTCCAAACCCCATGACAGAACAGGGCCCTTGACCCAGGCAGCAAGGACTGCACACTACCCTTCACTTCACCAGGAGGGCCCTAATTAAAGAATTCTTTCATGCAGAAATGCAGGACTGACCTGCATGGTCCCACATGGATTTTAGTTTACTGGGAGCCACAGCAACCTGAGTGTTTTGATGGTTCTCCAGTCCCCACCTCTTTATAATTCAATCTTCCCCCGCCCCCATATTATTTACTCAGAAACTTATTTGCATTTGCAGAAGCAGCAGCAAGTGGAGAGCCTGGCAGGGACTTTAATGAAGCCAGGTGGGACACATTTAAATAGGAATGTGCTGAACTAACTCATGAAGAGCAAAGCCAGCTGTCAGCAGGCTTAATGAAAGGTTAACAGGGATGCGGCAATGGTGGCTGGGGAGACGTCTTGTCTCTCTGAAGAAAACAAAAAGTTGGGAAGCTGGCTCCCTGGGTGGAGGCAAAAGCAGGAGGAGGAAGTCACTTGTAACCGAGAGACCGGGTCTGAAACCGAGTTTCATTTAGATGTGTAAACATGTTACAGTCTAACAAAAGAGGGAAAAAAAAGCATTGTGAGTTCCCAGCTTTCTGATCATCAAAGGACCGCAAGGGGACGCCTCCCCCCAACAAGATGAATGCTAATGCTGTTACCAGAAGGACCCTGGGAGCCCTGGAGATGGCTGCTCACAAAACAAGGTGGGTTTACTTTCTAATTGAGCTGAAAAGGGGCAGTTTTACTGTTGTATGCTTCATCTGGGTTGCATACGGAGTAGGGATGTGTGGGAGCAGTAAAGACGCTTACGTGTCCTTCAGTTCACCTCCCAGTTTTTAGCTGGCGAGGCTGAGGCCTAGGTAGGAGACATGAGTGACCCCAGGCTACACAGGAAAGCAGTGCCAGAGCACAGACCTACGCCAGTGCCCTGGACTGAACTGTGTGGCCAGGTCATGAACTTGTTCTTGGGTTTTTCTAAGTCCACCTGGATCTGCCTGATGATTCGCCCTTCTGAAGTTGTATCGGTAGGTTCTTGTTGGTACACTCAACTCAGAATTTCTTTTCCATGAACCATATTTTCCTTGACCCTGTGGTGGACTGTCATTCCCAGAAAGAGGAATTAGAATAAGGAATTGGTGTCCTATTGATTTTTAAAAAACAAAAACCACCATCAATCCTCCACAACTAGACCGAAGAACAAAAGGACAGCAACTTATCTGTTCCCCTTTCCCGATTCCCCAATAAAATCTTTAAAAGAAAAACCCCAAAAATCCCACACCACCATAACTAGGGTGACCAACTTGTCCCCATTTTAAAACTCAAAATCCCGCATGCTGGGGATTCCCTCAGTCCTGGACAAACACTGGGAAGGTTGATGAACCGAAATCCATGATTAAACTCAAGATCAAACGCAGCAACCCTCTGAGTTCATTCACTCTTGACTTTATTGCGGTAATCATTTTTTTTCTGTGACTTTGCAATTGGACCCAAGTGGAATTTAATTTGTTCAGACCCAGCATTGGAAAAGACTACTAAATCTAGATTCTAGATTCTGGCTATTCAAAATGTGGGGCTCAGACCGGCAGTATTGTCATCACATGGGGGCTTGTTAGAACTGCTGAATGTCTGTCCTCCCCCTAGACCCTGGGAATCTGCATTTAAACAAGGTCTTCATGTGACTCATATGCACATTAAAGATTGAGAAGTACTGATCTAAAGCACTGATTTTCAAACTAGGCTGCACAGTGAAGTCGTGTGGGGAACTTAAAACAATACTGATACTTGACTCCCTTCTGAGGTCCTGATCTAATTGGGATGGGGGAGACCTGGACATCATGTGCTTTTCAAAGTAGCTCAGGTAATTCTAATATACAGCAATGTTTGTAAGCCCCTTCTTGAAGGTAGCTTTGCACCAGAAAGTAATGTTGCTAATTAATCAGGATAACTCTTGGTCTCAGTTACAAGCTTATGTGGGTCTAATGCCCCCACATGATTTTGCGCGAAGAAATAATAAAATTGCGGAAGAAGATCTGAGGAGACAAGATAATGACCGAAATGTCCCCATTATTATGAATGAGGACCATTAAAATGATTAAAAACCAAGATATCATACAGGTACGCCTCATTTTATTGCGCTTCACAGATGTGTTTTTTTACAAGTTGAAAGCAAGACCCTCTGCTAGCAGAAAGATTATGACTCACTTTATTGCGAGTGTCACTTTATTGGTGTGATCTGGAACCGAAGAAAGTACAGTATCTCCGAGGTTTGCCTGTATTGGGTCTGTGGAAAGTGATAATGAGAAAACAGAAAAGTCAAACAGAGAAGGAATGTCTGGGGGTAAAGGTGATGAGACCTCAGGGGGATAATGAAGAGATTATGAAAAAAACATGGAGGTTGGTTAAGTGGAAACCTTTTTTGTAGATCAAGGAACTTGGTGAAAAGGCAACTATGCTCTCTTGTAACTAAATATAAGGGGAGACCCTCCTGAAGGCAGAGTTATTCATTGTCTCAGCAGGATTATGTTCAGCTGCAAGTAAGAGAATACTAAAAAAGTGGTGACTTAAACACTTAATTATTTCACAAAACTAGAAATCTGGACTTAGGCTGTTTCATGGTTGGTTCAGCAGCTTCACTAAGATGAGAGTCTCTGTGACATTCTTGGCTCTTCCCTCATGGTTGCAAGATGGCTGCCACAGCCCTCATCTGCCCTCCACAAAAGCATCCCAAGCAGGAAGGAAGGAGGTGGATGGGAATAGGAGGTGCCTTATGACTCGCATCCTTTATCAAAAAGGAAAATCTTTCATGGAAGTTACCAGGAGATCCCCAATAAATTTCATTGGCCATATATTTCACTGGGTCACATGCCCACCCNCTAGACCTACTGAACCAGAAACTCTTGAGGGTAGGGGTAGCCCGTGATCTGTGTTTTAAGAAGCCATCCAGGTAATTTGGATGCACGTTAAAGTTTGAGAACCATTGCCCGGTGGTGATAATCCCTAACAGGGGGATTAAGACTTCAAGGGAAGCTTCTCCTTTACCCTGGGCTGTGCTGGTGGGTGTGGCCACACAGGGTGGGGAGTTTCCAGCAGCAGCAGGTAAAGGCCAGGTGGAGGTCCTGGCAGAGGCCTCACAGAAGCTTCATTACTTTCCACCTGGACTCTTGCAGCTTCCTGACTTTGCTCGCCAAGCTCACTGCTCTCTCTCTCCACTTTGCTCTCCATGCTGTGGCAGAAGCATCTTTTCTAAATGCAGGTCAGAGATTCCTGTCTCTGATTTCCACCCGGGGGGCAGAGAAGAAGCACTCAACAAGAAGGCTAGGGTGACAAACACCTGATGACTTCAGAGGCCAGGCAGCTGATACAGATGAATGAGGTGATGGGAAGCCATGTGGCCTGTAACAAAGTGAAATGTGTGTGTCCACTTAAAAGCATTGACATTCAAAGTTGGTTAAAATAATGTCCTGGCAAGCAACCGATGGACATGGTCTAAAATTGTCGGAGAGTGGGCCCTTCTCGGCGCCAAATCCAGGTCCTTGGCAATTCCAGCAAAGAATTGAACAAGATGCCGAAGTACTGAAAAAGTAGTTTATTCCAAGAGATAGTACATTTCAAAGAAGTAGAAGTAGGCCCGAGCAGTAGAGAATGGCTCAAGGACCCATTATTAGAAGAGAAGTTACATTCCAAAGGGTTTGGAGCGGGCCATGCGCAAAGGCGAGGCTCAAAAGGCTCAAAAACGGAAGAAGCAGTCAAAAAGAGCAGGGCGGACTTCCCAGCACTGGGAGTTTTTACCCCCTTTCTCTAGAATGGGCTGTTCCCCTAAGGGCCTGGGACCTCTTGATTGGCACCTGTGATTGACAAGAGGTGCTGCGCAGGTGTGAGTGACTGGTCTGATCTAGTTGGATATTTTTTGCTCTTTTGTTTTCCCGCAGGGGTAGGTAATTACAATACAAAGGGGAGTTTTGGTGTAGAGGAGAGGTCCCTTTGGCAGTCTCACTCTGTGGGACGTGCAGGAATACAGAGACCCAATGCCTGCCTCCAACTGCCTGCCTTGTTTTCCCCTTGAGATGTGATCCCCGTAAAATCTCTATGGGAAGTTGAGGGACAGGAGGTCT